GGACTATAAAAAGAGCAGCTCCAGCAGTTGCCGCTGTTGTCCACAGCCGGAACTTTGTGAAAAATGTTTGCTTACAGTATTTACTAAATACTTACCGTAGATCACAGGTGTCAAACTCGTTCCAGAAAGGGCCGTGTGGCTACAGGTTTTCTTTCCAACCAAGCGATGGCACACTCCAAAAGCCTGCTGTTTATGGAAGACTGATGAGAAGAAAGTAATTTCAGAAGCAAACTTAGTTAACTGCACATAATCTGATGCCATGGAGGGGAAATGGTAAACATTTTAATTATTTTTTGTATTATTTGTAAAGTGACCTTGAGTGTCAAGAAAGGCGCTGTTAAATAAAATGTATTACTATTATTATTATTATTATTATTATTATTATTAAAATCTTTGGCCATAATTCAAAACATAGGGCAAAAATCTTTACACATCACCCTAAACACCCCATCTCTGTAATAAAACAGTGTGGTGGGTGAAGTTGGATATATATATATATTTTTTTTTTTTAGCAGGAGGATGGAAGCTGGTTAAAAACTTGCCAATAGAAAATATTTGTTGCTTATTCTAATAAATTTAATTTGATCCTGGTAGCCTTCCCTCCCTCACTCATCCCCATATTCTGTAAACTGACAGAATATGGGGATGAGTGAGAAGACATACAATAAAGGTTGACAGGCTGGGATTTGAACTTGTAACTCACACTTTTAGGACAACCCTAAGTCATTTTTAACCCCTGTGCCACCAGAGACAAACCCAGCCAACTATTTCATGTAAAAATATCAGATTGAGACATATTTCAAATTGGTCTCATATTTCTCTTTGAGGTCATGAACAGAAAAAGATGTGAGAGAATTTAAAGAACTCATAGAAAGTTCACTGTGAGGTTTATTTCTCGGGAGAGAGAAATTTATGAAGAAAGAGGAAAAACACTTTGGTCTTGATAGCTGCTTATTTATAGTTAGAAGATATAAAAGTGACAAAGAAATCATCTTAATTTGCTTAATTATGGCTTGAAGCTTGTAAACAATGTGTAACACTTTTCAGATTTTTTATTAGAAAACAAAGCTTAGTCATATACCATCTTTTCTCCTCTTTCACTACATCGAAGTCTGTAGTTGTAATATAGCATGGGAGAAAGCAATTTTTTTTTTTTACAAGGCATTTATTTCTATAAAGAAATGCTTGGTAGAAAAGTATCAAGGGAAAGGGGAAAATTTCAAACAGTCATAGTATCTAATATCTTATTTTTAGACTTAGACGTTTGTATACAGTGTATTAAAATTGAATTTCGTTTAGTACAGCTTTTCAGAGAGTAAATGAACATTTCCATTCCATAATGTGCAGCAGTGATCCAATGTAAACAGTGTGGGAGAAAAAACATGGTGAAAAAAAAAATGCATTGACATGGAAGTTTACAGCATTATATATGTATGGTGCAATTATGCAGTGTTTTGGTTTGGTGTTGTCAGTTTGATGCAGAGTCTGGCATGATTTAGAGTTTTTTCAATAGTTCAGCTGTCTGATGGTGGTGGGAAAGAAGCTGTTTTAGAATCTGCTGGACCTGCATTGAATGCCTTAAAGTCTCTTCCCAGAGGGCAGCAGGGAGAACAGTCAATGTTGGGGTGACATCATTGATGATGTCACCGGCTTGGGATGATGGGATAAAAAGTCTTTAATGGAGGGAAGAGGAGACCTGATGATCCTCTCTGCTGTTATCACCTTCTTCCAGTCTGAGGCGCTGCAGCCTCCACCCCACACAGTGAGACAGCTGCTCAGAACGCTCTCTATGGTGCTTCTGTAGAAGGTGGGGAGGGTGGGTGGGGGCAGGTGGGCTCTCTTCATCCAGGAAGTACATGCACATTTGTGCCCTTTTGACCAATGAGGTGTTTATATTCTAGGTGAGGTTGTCTGTGATGTTCACCCTCAGGAATCTGGTGCTGCTGACCACCTCTACAGCTGAGCTGATGAGCATTGGAGCGTGGTTAGGCCGCTTCTTCCTGAAGTCGACAGGAACACCCGGCTTAACCATGGCCTATTCTCAAACTAAAGTTGTAATTCACTCAATTCTCTCCCATTGATTATTTCCTTAGAACAAACCTTTTTGGGAACATGCAACTAAAGAGTCAAGCTGAACTTGACATAGTTGACCTTGCTAATGTTTGGACTCACTGACTGATATTCATCCTCTCCTTTTTTTTTTTTTTTGTTCTTTGACACAGTGTAGATAGGAATCAGAGAACCGTTGTGAATGTTTTGCTTTGCAGTGTGCAAGTTATTTTTCTTTTCCTTCAAGCACAAAAAATATCTGCGATCCTTTTGGCCTCTTTTCTGGCCATCATGAATGAAAAGCAAATCAGAAAAGAAGCAGACGCGGTGATAGTCAGCTGGTCAGATGAGATTCAAACAGCATGGCACAGAGAGTCTTAATATTTCACACCTAATGCATTATTTACACCCTGGGCGAGGCGGCGGAATAAGCGCGGGTGCTCTTGGGTGAATGGCGAGTTTTTCGGTTCTGCACCATGTGTATGAATCTGCGAGGATGTCTGTGTGATTGGCGGAGCTGTGGATAAAAGACAAGATGAAAGCGGCAGCCGGGAGGGCCTAACTGCAAGATCCATCTGCTAGTGGTACCTCTGAAGTAGGTTTAGCTCTCAGGTAAGCTCCTTAGGTGGTCAAGGATCATGAATATACAGTCTGTGTGCCTCTGCATGTGTGTGTGCTCATGGAAATGGAAGGAAATTAGCCTTTAAGGCAAAACTTATCTTGATCGTGATAAAGACAAGAAGAAATTACTTCTGTTTGACTGGACAGTATAACTGTTGCTTAATTATAGTAATAATTCTGCTTTTCTTCCTTTTGTGTTATGGACTTTTACCTTAAAGAGTACACTAATCCTCTCTGAATCAAATTATACGAGGAAGCATTTTTTTTTTTCAAAGAAAAAATATTACATTACATCACTACTGAATCAGAGATTTCTACTATTACAGAAAGATAGTAAAATAAGCTTATTATAAAAGCTTTTATTGTTTTTCCATTGGAAAAATAACCAGTAATGAAAAGGTTAATCTTAAGCTCTACAATGGTCATTTAAAATTATTAGTTGTTTGGAAATCAGGCTACATAAGAGAGGAATGGAATAAGTTGACAAAAAAAGGAAACATATTTAAGTTTCATATTTTGAAAAATGACATATCTAATAAGGAGCCCCTGTTTCTACTTTAAACAGAGGTTACTAATTAAGTTATTGCTGGAGCAAAATTAAATTTTGATTTAAAATTTTAAAGATGTTAGTGTCACCTGCAGTGGTGGTTGTGGACAAATTTGCCAGGGGGGTTCAGGGTGCGGTCAGCCTTTTTCATGACGAGCACAGAACAAATTTATGAAGCAATAAACAAGAAAATTGTTTGTTTATTATAGGGAGACATAAAACCAAAGAGACAATAGTGCCTCTGGAGACCAGATGTGGCAGGTAAAAAGTGACGGAATCTGTAAGATTGCTGTTCAGCTGATATTTAGATGTAAAAACGATCTTAACAACCAATCTTACCTGGTTCTCCAAAGGTCTAAAAATCACCCTTTTCAACGCCCTGAACTTTTCATTTTTATTTAAGAACGTTATGTTGAGCAGTTTTTTTTTTTCTTTTGCTTCACAAGTTAAGCTCTTTTGATTTAAATAGAATGAGTGAAACATTCAAGCTTTATCACAAATGTATCAAATATATTATAAAGGGTATTAGAATATGATAAAATTAGAATCAGCATGCCAGGCTGGTAAAATTTTGTTTTTTGGCAGCAAAGCTGCAGTCAGTGGAACCCCAAAGCTGGTATGCTCTCTCAATACAACGGAAGCTAAAAGTGTGATTCCTTCATTTTTAAATCAATGTTGAAATAAAACTGTAAAGGTTAAAAAGATTAATTACATCTAAGGAACCAATCAATTATGGTTTCTTTCCCAGTGGATATAATCATAATATATTTATTTGGTGTTACCACACAGCATCTCTCCACACAGTGAGACAGCTGGTATCCTGAGGTTGTGAGTTCAAAACCCCACAGACTGCCACTCTCTCTGAACAAGCCCCTTAACTCCCAATTGCTCCCCAGGCGCTGCACAGTGGCAGCCCACTACTCCCCAAAGGTGATGTGTTAAATGCAGATTGTTAATTTCTCCTTTGTGAGATCAATAAAGTTCAATTTATTATTTTATTTTTCTCCTCTAGGTGTGCCAGGCTCAGGTGAAGAGTAGAGGAGATGGCGTCCCAGCTGGAGCGGGTCCATCGAAACGAAGCACTTCATCACTATGGGAGTGATGAAGCGCTTGGAAAGGCTGGTTAAAGAACACATTGTTGCTCATTCTCTTCTGGAGTTCTGCTTAAAGATTGTCCATCATTTTGGTTCCCCTTCACTACAAGTCTATCAAAATGTGAAATAAATCAATAGAACAAGATAATCTTCCCTTTTGGACAACAAATATGAACTTTATGGAAGAGGATTAGGTCCTCTGTGGGGGAAAAAAATATTTTTACATTTTATTTCAGTTAGATATGGGAAAAAAGTCAAAATTCTGAGATTAAAGTCAGAATTCAGACTTTTTTCCTATATTAAATTGAAATAAAATAAAAAAATCAGATAACTTTTGCAGTGCCTCTTCTTCCTTAGAATTTATATACCTTTTCCATGATAAACTGATTTATTTTGAGATGTTTATGTCTTAAAGCAGCCTATTTGTTTTAAAGCCGCTCACTGGTCTGTGTCTAAACTAGAGCCAGTAGATCTATCTAATCTGTTTGGGTCGATCGCACTTGTGCCTCCATAGTTTACCCTCCTCCCCTGCGCCCTCATCTGTGCGCTCCAGCTGTGAGGGGGGCCGGCAGAGGCCAGCAGATCCCGCCTCCTCTTCTGCAATTGGGCCGTCAGGAGGCAACAGGAGGGGGCTTCAATAGCTTGTGTTTCACATCTTCGCAGCGGCTGAGCGCAGCTTGAGCCTCGGGTTGCTCAGCGTGGGATCTCTCTGAATCAGACAGTCAGATGACTTCCATCACAGCCGCGAAAAGCGTTTGGAACATTGCGTAACAGCGGCGCAGAAAGAGCCGAGCTGCGTTTTGGAGACGTTCATCCCGAGCGCGTCTTCGGCTGCATCCACCTGCCTGCGCGCAGGGAGCCCGTGGAGGGATGTGGCGATGTTGTGCACAAGGAGAACTAAAACTTTGGTGTCTACGTGCGTCATCCTGAGCGGCATGACCAACATCGCGTGCCTGCTGTACGTCGGCTGGATAACCAACTATGTGGCCAACAGCGGAGGGAAAGTTGCAGAGAGCGGAGAGACGGACAGAAAGTTGGAGGAGGACGGGAAAGGTGAAACGCTGAGGATTATAGAGCGCTTGGAGCGGCTGGAGAGCGTCGTGAACGAGCACATCAGAGGTCAGTGATGTTCTGCTGAGGCTGGCCAGAAACAGCCCTGCAACACAGAGACTAACTGTATTTTTCTTAGATGGAGAAAGTAAATAAAAGACTTTTACTCAAACATTTATCGCAGAACTGAATGGAACATGCGCCTTTTTTAATTCTCCAATGTCTAAATTAAGAGGAAAGCAGCTGCCAGCAATCCCTCTGACATCTGTAATAAGTTGCAGCATCTGTGCAGCCTTATAGCACTTCACTCATGAAGATTTGGTGAAGTGAGATTTTTTAAAAGGCTGCAGCAGAACCATCCCCAGAGAGCTCAGGCACCCCTTAAAGTGTTTCATGTTAATATGAGTTAATGGTTCCCTGAAGACATGTTAAAATGATGTGGAAATCCAACCAATTACCCTTTACTCCTCACTGAAATATTCAGCCAGTTATATATATAAGAATTGTTATCACAAAAAAAGGTCCAATTTGGGCAAAGCGAGACTTTAAATTAAAACCTTACCTGCTTTAGGAAACTCTGCCCCTTTGCTTAGTGAAGTTGGAAAACAGCCTAATGGTTTATATGAGCTCTACTTTTCATCTGGGAACAAGATAAGAAAGTCCTGCATTACATTAGGAGTAATATGGGAGAATCTTAACTTGCAAATAAGTTAAAGTTTGTAAGCCACATGTGAAAACAATCAAAATACAACACATCTAGATAATTAAATGTTAAAATGTTGGATAATTGGGAATTTAAGTAGACTCTACTTGCATCTGAAATTCTTTAAACCTGTATTTACGTCACGCTTCAGCTTAATTTTCCCTTTAGGCGAATATATTCTCAGTTTTATATTCAATAAATTCCCATTTTGTTGCATCCTACTTGACCCAAACCGACAAAAAAACAACAACAATAAATGGTGACAAAACTTAAACTATTTGATATCTGTTTGGGTGCATGGTAGCACCGTTTTTTAAATTTTTTATTATTTTGTCTTGCAGCAACAAAGATCACTTGTCACGTGTTTTCATGACTGATAAAGTGTCAAACATTCGATTTGATTTAAGTTGTTTATTATTTATTGAAAACATGTTTATTTTGCATTTTATCCATAAAAAGACAGTAAAATCATCTTCCACATGATATGAAATGAATACTTAATACTTACAATACAGCTTTTAAAAAAATCTCTGATAGGATACTGATACTATAGCTTTGTGATATCTACCTGATACGATATCAGCACGCATAATAAATCATTTTAATATTCATTTTAAGTGGGGAAAAAAAGGCTTAATCAAGCGATATAAAGTAGACGACAATAAGAACATTGTGCCATTAACGATTAATCAATAGGTAACAAATACTTTGAACAGAAGCAGTGTGTTTTTTTTTATCAACCTACTCATATTGTTGGTTTAGATGCAGGATGCAGGCTCTTTTTTTGGCTAATTTAAGACATGTGTTTTGGCCAAAATCACTTCAAAAATGTTCCTTCTGGTGTTTCATTCTCTTAACCATATTTCTTTAAAGTAGAAAATGAAAATATATGATGTATAAAACTGCATTTGGGTAGAAATTGCTTCTTGAAAGGTTAATAGAGGCGGTCATAACCAGCTGTCTTTCTTTGGCCTTAAAGTGAAAACATATAATCTCTAATTGCAGTTGTTAATGCCATATCATTGTGCACAATATTACTGATGTGATGCTAACTACAAGAATGCTCCGCCGACACAGAAATGCTAGCCACAAAGTCAGGATAGTTTAAATGGCGTCATGGTGAGGCGGGCCCTTACCTGAGGCATTCTGCCTGATAAGGAAAGTCATTTCAAGTCAGTAAGGAATAAAATCAACATTAAAGCCAACATTTACCACAGACAGAGGAGGAATAATAAAGTAGACAATCAGGCTGGCTGTGAGTAAAACGGTTACAAATAGAGGGTGAAAGAATGTAGAACACGAACAAGAGGGGGAAAAACTGCAGCATGTTTTGAATTTCATGTGTCTGGTTCTTTCTAGCCTATAACAGATCCTGCCTTTGATGCAGTTTATTTCAATACCCATTTAATGAATCAAAGCAACACAAGCTTTTTTTAAGATAAGCATAAGACAATGCAGTAATTATTCCAAAAGGGAAGAATTGTTTCTTACTTTCCTAAAACAATGAACAGCCGGTAGATCCTGCTGATTACTGTGGTGTTCAACAGCTCGCTGGTGGCTTGTCCTTCTTTGCATTTTTTTAGAAGTCCTTTTGCAGTTTGGGGGAAAATGGTTACCAGTGTCCCATCCCCGGATTTCTTTAGGGTAAGTTTAATTTGTATGTCCCCCATAGGGGCGTGGGAAAATATCGATTTGGCAATATATCAGGATTTTTCGTGTCCCAATATAATATCAAACCTTAAGTTTCTAATATAAATTTTTTTAAATACATTTTTCTCTAAAACAATAGGGAAAATGCACTACTTCAGGCAATCACAGTAGCAGATGCGGAGTGACTCAAACGCCACACAACATGGCTACCGAAATAACAAAATAACTTAATGATGAATATGGTCTACTGAATACATAGCACTTGCTTTTATTGATCTCTACATTAGATTTTAATATTAGCTGGGTAGTTTACCACAATATATCTTAAAATTGCAATTTGTTACAATATCGTATCGTGACCCAAGTATCGCCATGCGTATCGTATCACAACGCTCTTGCCAATACTCACCCCTAGTTCCCCACTAACAACATTAGCATTTTATTAGATGTCTTTTTTTATTTGCATGTCTGCTGTGCCTTCCTAATGAAAACATTTGGTAAACATGACAGAGAGACAGAGATGCAGCTGATCCTGCAGAGGAGGGACCTTTCACTGCAGTCCAAATCACCATTGCTGATTGGTCAGTTGCTGACGAGCATTCAGGGTTGATTGACAGGTGGTGTCAACTCAATTGTAAATGACCTATTGGAAGCAATGTTTTTTTTTTTTTCAGATCGATGGCTTTCACATTCTGCATTTCAATAAGATGTTTGGCCATTTGGATCGACCTCCATTGCTTTGATTTCTAGCAGCTGAGATGCTGCATGTCATAGACAGAGGTGGGAGTGTTTTTTAAAAAGTAAAATCCGGGTTAATGCGGAACGGTAGCCCAATTAACTATTGGTAATTCATCTAGGGCTGCAACTGACTATTATTTAGCAAGTGGAATTATCGGTTGATTATTTTTTCAATGACTTGATTAATTATCGGATATCAAGAGGTTCCTTAAGGAGGACTTCCTACACAAAGTCAAACCCAAACTCTTCCATTTGTGGAGTTCTGGATAGAGCATTTTGACCAGCGAAAGAAGTTTTTTTTT